TCTTTTTCCCCACACAAGTACAATTTCATTATAAAATTCCGAAAAGAAAGCTTGTGAATGAAACTGGTGTTCAACTTGCACCACAGAACTGGCTTCTGAGCTGAGCAGCATACTGTACTAGTTTTTTAGTTCCTCAGCTCTTTTGAAGGACACTACCCCCCTCAAATACATTTGGACTTTTTGTCTTTCATGATAAATGGGAAAAGAAAAACAAGAAGGATTTGTCTACAGTTCTCAAACTAAAAATACGTTAAAACAGAAAGAAAAACATGTTTTGAATGTGATCCATGATTACAGCATATTATGGTCTTCTGCTGATGCAAGCACTTATTTTTGAAAAATGACAATATTTACTGTTTTCTACATAACAATTAACTATTAGTACAAACAAGCTTGTAATTATGCCCATTATTGGCAAGAGCCCTATCCCAGCAAGGTATTTTTAGACAAGGCCCTGTCTCCTTAAACACCACCTCTGAAGTGACTACATGGCCCCCCTCCCAGTGGCAGGGCAGGTAAACAGGATGTAAAGACCAATTATAATCTAATTTTAATCGGTTAATCATAGGTGCGAGGACCTTCTATGTCGTTTACTTAAGATAGAACAGAAACGAAACCCAAACAAATGCTGCACTCGATCCATGTCCTGCTGTCTGGAGTAGCTTCTGTGGTTAAGAAACGTATAAGCTAGTAGTTTACTCTCGTCCAGAGACAGTTTTGCACAATCACCTTTGATGGCACTGGAAGAGAATAGGTGAATCGCACTCAATGTAAAAATCTTCAATCTTTTAAACACACTTTTTCCTTTTTCTCTTCGCAGATACCGGATTGACTAGCAGAGACTCATCGAAAACATTTACTTACTTCGGAAAACTGGGCATCATAGTCATTTCCACTGGAATTTATAACCCAGTGTAAGAAAACACATGAATCACGTTTCTTGAAATTATATTTCACCAACAACTGCCCTCTGCTTTTCCCGGTTGTATCTTCATATACCACTGACAATTGGTACTTGACCCAGCTCACTCCAAACAGAAATAGAGATGAATGAAAGACAAAAAAAAAAATGACATAATTCCATCTTCTGAAACATCTTGGCGCCATAAAATGCCCAGATGTTAAGGTACCCAGCAGCACAAGAGCTGCGGTAAACTGGGGGAAAGAGCTTCTGGTAGACCACATCAAAACTTGATGTAACTGCTGCAGGAATCCATATGTACATAGCATACATTATTTCTAAGCAAAATAAATAATTAATTACTACCGATTAATTAGTATAATGCATCAAACATTTTCTAATAGTCTGACTTTCTGTTTAAGACACACACTAAAAGTAATGGTAATGTTATGCAAAACTCTTTTATCATTGCCAAAATCTCAATTTACACTTTAATGTATTCAAGACACAAACAGGACAAAAATCCTAACAGATCCATGCATTCTCTTTCAGCACCATAATGAAAGAAAGAACCGCTCGCAGTTGTTGATATGGAATAAAATCATTCAGCTGTGTTTCACTCTGGTGTGACCTTCTTGCACAAAAGATGATGGGTCCCAATAAGAAATAGCAAACAGCTCCCCGCCACCCACAACTAGCATATCACACACAAAAAGTACAAAGCCTGCTCTTGTTTAGTGGCGTGGTGCTTTAACAAAACAGACATGACTCCAGACACAAAGAGAAAGAACCCCAAAACACAAAAGTGGTTTTCTTCCCCTCTGTGGCAAAGACGCAGAAAGGGAAGGAAATCAGTATTTTCATTAACTCTGCAGGGAGGGAGAGATGCAAATACAGCAATTCAAGTAATGTCATTCAGAAGGGATTACCATAGTAAAACACGTCCGTGCAATATAGACGTCCATTTGAAAACAGTGGCGCTCTCTGATTTTTCTACAAATTGACCCTGGGTGTCACTGAATTACAAAGTGCCCACGTCATCGGGGCACGTGTGGAGGCATACCTCAAATTCCCTGCTCAGCGGAGTTAAGAAAGAGCTCTTTGACTGGACAGGCAGCACAGTCCCTGACCCCTTAGGCTGGGTGACTGTACAAGGAGGAAGTGGTTGACTGCCAGCCATTGATCTCTGCATATGCAAAGAGCTCCGTGACGCTGGCAAGCGCCAGGCCTGGCTGTTGTGAGCCCTTTGGTTTCAATATGTGAATGTAGGTACAGGGGGGTAGGGGGTGGGGTCAGCACCATACGCACATGTGCTGACAGCACTGAAAATTAACCAAGATCCAGAATACAGTGGCTCTATTCCTAAGTCACTCTGTCTGACGCAGCTCATTTCTTTTGCATTGTCCCATGCCAAGAAATGGAATGTTACGATGAATCGCCGCCCTTGTGTGAGGTCACTTTGAAATACATGGATGTGATGGGTCAGATAAAATGCTGCACAAATTACAGGACATTTGCAAACTTCTGTAAATGTCCCTAAGCCGTCCAATACTGTAAGCCTTTGTCATTTTGTGGTGTTCAATGCTAGATGGCTTTGAAAGATTCCCTTTCACAATCCACTTAGCCATTTTATTACAGTTTCACAATGAGCTGATAAGACGTCAATGATATCTGCATAGGGTTGAAAGGCAATTTGTCTGCAATAATTCATGCCACTCCTTGAGAATGAATAGAAAATAAGTAGCTTGAATAGAAAACAAGTCTTGAGCACTTCCTACCGAACTAAAGTACTGTCAAACAGAAGAAGCAATAAAGCAGTATTTAAATCTCATAACTTTTTAAAGATATGAAATTTGCACTTACACTTGAGGCTTTGAAACAATCACAGGCCCCATCTTCAGTATAGTTCCAGATTCAGATGTACATAGCTGGAAACAAGTATGTTACCCTTTTGTTACTAGAAAATACTAAGTGCTGTTTTCAATCTGGCTACTGACCATAGCAGACGTTATGTCTGAAGTGAGCCCTAAATAAAGAATCAAAGTGATAGAAAAAAAATCTTCTACATTTTTGCAGCGTATAAAGCTAAACAATGACAAAAACACAAAGAATGTTTTCTAATGAAAATATGCACTTACTTTATTCATATGAATATATCAAACTGTTAGCAATACTATTTGCACAAAGGAATGCAGTTTAATCAAGAGGAAAGTGAAAACAATCACTACAAGAAACACTGATCTCGCTAACTCAGCAATACAGATAATTTCACTCCCGTTTAATAGCAATTTCAAACTCTAGGTGGATCATTCTATAGGAAATTAACCCGATATTGGCATAATCTTGTAACAGAATTTTACAATTCAGCATACAGTTCATATAGTTCAGCACATTTGTTCTAAGGAAGAAGAATGGATACAAAGCAATAATAATGGTCATTTCTGTATATACTAGACTTCCTTGAAGACACTGTACCTTGTATGCAATACATGCATTCTGATAGAAGCCACAATGTCTTCCAGGAAATGGATTAGGTACAAAAATGCCTACAAATGACCACTTAAAATGATCTCAAATCATTTTGACATCTTAATGTACAGTTTGGACTTAAATGCTTTCTCTACATGGCAAATATATGCTCCAACATCAGAGATAGTTGACATGGACACATCTCTGTGTGGAATCAGGCTGACAAAGGATGGGCAGATTCTAAAAGGAGTCATAAATGTATAACTTGTATTAAACCTATTGAAACCATTGTAAAAGCAACAACCATATTAGGTCTTCCTATAATTTAAGAAATACAAAATGGAAAAAGTGAATCCTGTCATTTCTATATAGTTTCTATATGGTGTAGCACCCCTCTGCAAAGTGTTAGTATTCATAGTATAATTCACAAAGAGGCACTGGAAAAGGTTGGCCTACGACCTGGAACATCAGGAAAACCATCGGAGTTATGCTTTATTCTCCAGGGGCCTTATCAGTCACAGGAAAGCTAGACTTCCATTACATATCAGTTTGATCTGTTTCAGCATTTACAAGCTGCAGGTCCATCCTCGATGTTTACTGATGAAACAAATACTGCTGTTGTACTATGACATAAACTTATGCGTAACTCAAAATAAGGTAAAAAAAAACTATCCAGCAGTACTGGCTTTAGGAGTTTAAAGCTTGTAAAATCTAACATGTAAAGGAATTCATTCTGGCAGTTCTATCCCAAGATTAGGCTTCCCTGAAATTTTAAACTCTCTCTGGAGTCGTTAGTATTAAGAAGCCAACTTCTCAGACGTTCAGATGAACACTGCACTTCGGGCACACACAGTTAGCAGCTATAAAGATGCTTAAAATGTCCCTGAGAAATGTACTTCACCCTTTTCCCAACAATACTAATCTCGAAAACACACGTTGCAATTATCTTTTTTCGGCGGCACCAGCCTATGTGAAGACTGAAGCTCTTATGTTGGAACGCGAAGAAGACCCATATATCTCCACGCTTCACAGTGCTCACCAGACACCCTGGTTTGAGCCTCCGATGTCGGCTAGCACACGAAAAAGACAATTGAACGGGTTTAATCAGACTATTGGGCTACAAAATAGTAGCAAATTTCAGCCCCAAGAGTCCATGACAGACGGGAGCCGGAAGGTGGCTCGTCACGCAATCATTTGTTATCCCGTTTTCCCACAAAAGAACCGGTCCGCACGGTTTCTGTCTCTACTGTGTGAGGATCTAAATATCTCAGGTTTGTCACTGTACATGTTCAAGACACGTTACAGAGCCGCAGACAGACGGCTGCGTAAGTGATACACAGAACATATTGACCTTTCCATACTCAGTGACCACAGACGCATCCCTGCATTTCAAAGCGGACTGTACTGTGGCTGAAATCTGAACTACATGCTTCTTAACAATATAACTCAGAAGCGGGATGTGTTTTACCCTGCGTGTTCGGGGGGTCTTTAACCTGTTAAGTTGGTGATACTGTGCCGGCTGATACCAGTCCATATCGTCCTCACCTGCCCGGCTTTGAACTCTTGTTTACACACTAAAGTTTCAGCCCGGCGCTCCGTCCGCTTCCCTTTTACAAACACACAGACTTACCAGCTCATCTTGTTGGAGGCTATTAATCCGATTTCATGCGGAGGACCGTTCTCTTATTTCCCAATTTAAAAAAAAAAATTACATGTTATTTTAAAAACCCAGATCACTGCCCTGCCACTCACTCTCTCTCTCGATCGTCTCTCGTATCCAGGAAGTAAAAAGGTAAACCGCATCCTGAGGTCAGAGGTGAGGGGATTTAAACTACGGAAAGCACAGCTCGCTGAGAGCTGGGCTCAAAATAACGATCGGGAATTTGACTGTTGTCCTGTCGGAGAGATATCATAATACCTTGATTCAAACACTGACAGACCATGACCGCTTTTAAAAGTAACTATATCAATGTGGTGAATTTTATATAATGATATACTCCGTAAAACTTGCATATTGTAACGTCTTAAAAACGGTTGTGGCTGTCACGGTGTCTTTACATAGTTCTAAGGCGTATTGAATACTTATTTTCCAAGAATACTTAGCACATGCAATATACATCATACATGTATATATACAGTACAGTATACATGTTAAAATTGAGTTTTGAACGCAGGATCGGGAACACCGAATATAGACTCTTCATCTGAAACATGGTTTACTTGTACGTGTTGTCTGTTAGATGTAGCGTTTTCTTCTGTTAGTTTTTTGTATGTGTCGTGGATGTGCGACTCATATTTTATGTCAATGTTGGGTATTCAGTTCATCTAGTGCATCCACAGTTGCTGGAACATTACTTTTCTTCACGTTTGCTTCTGGGTGACACTCCATTCTATCTATATTGTGTGAGATTGTTCTATCCTTTTGCCTCCAGCGCATCATCTACCTCCGTACCTCTCACGCCACATTTTGGGGACACCAAAAATAGGTGGACTTACCTTCCAGTTGGCGCCTCTTCCAAGTTAAAAATGCTGGAATTTTTGTAGATCAATATCTATTTTTTTAGGGATTGTGTGGGCAACAGTTTAAGATCTAGAATTAACAATTCCACAGCCCTCAACTCAAAAGACTTATTGTTTATAACATTATTTCTAATATCAATATGAGTAACTGCCAGTATTAAAAAAATCAGCAAAATAATATTTACCATCATCCCAGGGGTAATGCAGTTAATGCATGTGTTATAATTTAAGATATTAACCAAAAAATGATTTATTTATATTTGGATCTTTCCTAGTTACATTTGCCTTAATTCACATGGCCTTTATTTTCATTGCAGTTTGGTCTTGGCATACTGGTAGGAGCAGCTAATGTACCCAGCACTATTTGCAATGTGGGAAAGTGTGGGGGCTGAGTGGAACAGGGGGAGGGCAAGACTAACTGGCCTTCCTGCTTGTCAACACCAGGGAGGCCAGGTTATGGTCTGGATGCAGTCCTCAGTGAAATCTGACAGGCTGGGGGCAGCTGTGAGTGGACATGAGTCAACATTGACGAACGTGGTGAGAATGCTTCGTCTACAGGCCCCACTGCTATGCATTATTTTTAACCTGCCATGTGAATTTCACATGACTTGAGTGTACCAAGCTGCTTCAGAGGTAGAGATTGTACCTCAACGCCCAACTGGGACAGTTCACCACTCACTTTGGCAACTTAGCAAAGAGGCTTACACTAACCTCCCCCATAAGGAGGATTTAGAATAAGCCGTTACCTGGCAGAAAAAAAAAGCTGTACTATAGCTTAATAGACACAGATCGCCTATTTGACCTGCTGGTAAAAGTGAGATGCAGATTGCTCATAAAATATAAGTCAATTCAATAAGTTTGAAAGAAGAAGCAAAGCATTTCAGAATATACCCTGAAATGTAGTGAGTAAATGCCAGGATGATGAAGACGTGCCCCCACAGTGGATCTCATCTGCTCAGAATGTAAGCGAATGGCTGAGTTGTGTGGTGAGGAGCATGTTTGAGGTTCAGATTTAGAGCCACCCGCAACAATAGGTCAGGTTCACTATACCAGGAAGAGTGAAACAGGACTGATTTAGAAGATCTTGTACATCACGCATATTGTAAAGACTATGTCACATAATAAGAGGGAATAAGGCTAATGAATGCAACCTGGAAACATGTTTCTGTGAAGCATTCCTTTCCTCTCACACAAATTAACTGTTATCTTTTTGATTAAGTGATGCAGATTCTTGTAGCCATTCTTCATTTTGAACTGTTGACGGTGTCAAGTAGCGTCATTGTAACCTCCTCCAAGAAAACAGAACCCAGAAACTCAAATAACTGGTCACATTTGATTTAAGTTGTTTAAATGAAGGTTGAATACATATTTAATCATCTTTACTAATTTACTTTCAATTGAGGTTCTACTGAATATTTTAAAAAGCATTTTGTAGATATTCAGTTGGGATAAGGTTAGTATGAACCCTACTTTGTAAAGATGCTTTTTTTGATGTTTAATAGAATCTCAATTAATTGTAGTTGCATCAGTGACAGAATATATATTAACCCCTTATTTATACACATGGTTTTAAAGTGTAATCTAAATCTAAAGTGAGACTCCAAATAGAAATGTAATCTGTAGTGTGATCATTTTTTTTTTTTTGCAGCTGTGATATCCTCAAAATAAGTTTGGGCTGTGTTGGCCTTGAAGAGCCACATTTCATCCCATCTTCATTTTTTATGTGTTAAGTGAATTCATTTGTGGATCAAAGTCAGTCATTTGCTCACTGTGCTCCTTAATAGTTGCAGGGTGTTCATGTTTCCATTTTACATGATCTCTGAATTATTTGACCGAATTCCTTCTTTACGTGGTCGAAGTGAAACTATTCTCAGTGCTCAGAAAATGATCATTAAGGGTGAGCTGTGAGATCTGCTGGACCAGAGCCAACTCTTACTGTAATAATACTGCTTATCATTACTAGAAGTTTTACTTTAGGTTTTAATATCACAAAGTGGGTATTAAAATCCAGTTGTCACGTTTTTTCTTTTCTGTTCTTTGTTCATGTGCTTGTTTCGCCCAATCTCTTTGCCATTTTAGCTATTTCTTTTCAAATGGCTTCTTCTCCCTTCTAAAGGCAGACTGGAATTAAATGTAGAACAAAAGTATTGTTTAAATTGAAAAGCCATGAGAGTTGAAAGACCAATAAAGGACTATCAAGGAATATATTTATTACCACCTAAATTATGGAAACGACACATTGTGAAAAACAGAAATCACACAAAGGTTGTTGATTGTCAGCAACACAATATATTTACTTTCTTGATTTTCTTTTTTCTTTTTTGGTCACAGTGCAAATGGTACAACAATACAACTTTTTTAAAATTTTATTCAAATGCTTTATGCATTGATTACAAAACATTTGCATTACAACAAACTGAAGAGCCAAGGAAACGAGGAGGTGAACAACTCACCTCTACACAAAATAATAATAATTCATAACAATATTCATATTATTAATTGAGCACATCATACCTTATTATAAGGTAATAGAAAAGGTTCATGAAGTAAAAACATCCACAAAATATATTACAGGTCCTTAATTTGTTTTCTTTCAAAAAGAAAAAAACGAAACTCTTGTCCAAAAATATCTTTCCCAAGTGTTCAATAAAATGTCTGTATACTTTTTTTGCAATTTGTCCCATGTTGTTTTATCATTTGTTATAAATAATTCTTTATACATGCATAACAAAATAATGGAGCTCAGCCTTTTCACAAAAGGCTGATGCTAAAGTTTAAAGCACATATTTCAACGTTTCTTCTGTGGACAAAATGAGACATTTCCGTGCAGTGACATGCAATTATACATCAGGAGGACATTAACAGACAATGCTAAAAATCCTCCTTTTTTAAAACATGAAGTTAAAAATTATACCACCATACACAGAAATAAACCAATCATAGGTCTGAAGAGCTGAAGGGAAATGATCACTTCTATAAGTACAGCTCAGAAACATTGTGTCAGGGATAATGCCTCCATCTCAACATTGGAACAGTTACTTGCTTCCTTAAATAAACAAACTCAGAGTTCGAACAAAAATATCTAAAATTAATGGCAGTACCCTTTCAGGGAAATTTTAGTAACTGTGTATATCAATGAAGTAAAGGGCTATTCAGTTATTTCTGTGCTTTCCGTGTATTGTACATTGAGGATTAAGCCTTCTGGCCTATGGGAGGCTATCATTTACTAAGGCAGATGAGAAGACAGTACATCTTTTGTTATAATTGACTGATATATATATGTAAATAAATGAAAAATGAAAATTAACAAAGTCAGTTCATCATGGAGTTTCTCTACATTCCAAAGAAAGATCCTAAAAGGAAACACTATCACAACTTAAAGGACCATGTAGTCAAGAGTGCTCAGATTGATATTTTTATGACATTATGCATTTATGTTATATTTAGCAATATGAGCGAATAAAAAATAGTAGACAAATCAGAAATCATAAGAACTGAAATATTCTGTGAAAAAAAAGAAGTTGCACCCTAGTTGGTTTCCTTGAGGAGAGTTATTAATATTATTGTGCTATAAGTGATGTCTTTAACCATTTGGTAGGTATCTGGGATGGTTAGCATCACTTAAGCCAAGTATTCCATTACATGGCTGGCAACAGTGAGTTACACCATCCAAGTAAAAAAAATCAGAATATGTGCAGTTCAGGACAATGCAAAGGTTCAAACTGGCGTGCATTTAGACATGAGGAGCTTTTCCTGTTCAGCTCCAAACTGGAGACAAAGAAAGTGCCTTCAAAAATGATTTCTTCTAAAGGGACCAGCAGAACACACAGAAAGAAGTTCATGAGGAATAACACCACCCAAGAATCGAATGTATTGAAAAATGTTTATTATTGAGAGTTTAGTCTCAATGTGATTTGGCTTAACTGTCCTACCCTCCAGGCTAGACAGTTAAGCCACCACAGAGCGAGGAGTAACCAAGGGAGAACAGCAGAGGTGGGGATGAGCTGGAGAAGTTTTTTTTTTTAATTTAGGAAATAACATCAGGAATGATTACGAGTTAGAACAGCTGAGGCAGATTGAACTTGGCTGCTGTCATCCCTCATGAACTTTCATTGTAAACTCTATTTAAAGCAGCCAAATGCACTCTATTTCTTATAGTATCTCCAATTTGGGGTTTCCTTTTTTAATGTGACTTTACTCAGCACTAAAAAGAGATTTTTATTTGACAGTTACATATGAAGACTGCAAAAAAAAA